GAAGGTTTATGCATTACTTAAAAGCCAAGAACGCGACGAAATAATTTTACTCGTCATAAAACGATAAATAGTTTGTCAAATTTTTATTCATAATAATGCAGTTTCAACTGCTTTTTATTTTATAAAATTTGTCTTCTTGAGCCGCCAGAGGGCCTTTTAAACAATAGCTAGTCTGTTAGCGCTGGTCAGTAGTAGTCCAAATTCAATAAAACATTTGCTTCTTGAAAATTTGATTACGATTTAAATACAGTATTTATTTTTAATATTACCGATAAGTCCTTGAAAAGAAAACGTGTTGTATTATCATTAAAAGACAAATTAAAGTATTTGTTTCGATTATCCGGATTTTTCCTTATCCGGACTACTTTCATCCCCAATTAGTCCGGATAATCGAGGTTCTACTGTAATACTGTACTTAGTAAAAACATGGAGACAAGATTGTTTTAACTAAATGATTTTTCATACCTGTAAAACTACATATAACAGATACTTAATTAAAACATAATGTACAAGTGTTTAGTTAAATTTCATTAGAATTATTTACATAAAATAATATTTTTGTTAATCTAAGATAGAATATGTTACCAATAAAATTTTAATACCATAGATCTTCATATGACAAAAATTACATAATTAAAAAGTTAAAAAAACATATACACTTATTGCCATAAAAATTAGTGCATCAAGGAGGAGTTGTCATATCACTGCAAAACTTAGCATGTAGATAAGTCTCAAGCAGATATGGAAATGATTAGAGTTATAGTGTGATGGTTCATTGCATAATGCCAGCAGATGATGTTAAAATGCATCCCACTTGGCCTATAAAATATAGCAAGCAAAGGCATCCTCTATCTGCAATTTACCTGTTGCAGAGATATGCTATATCACTAAAGATGCTTTCACATCACAATTGAAGACCATATGAACAACTGAGTTTGAAAGGATCATCAGGTTGAGAGAAACTGAATAGTCTGTCACCCAGGCCATTCTGACAACACTGAGGTAGTGTTAGGACCATTGAACAAGAGAGAGCTTACACACATGGCACCCAGACTCAGGACAACCTCAGCAGACCACTAGCTGAGAGGATTGCCTGGTCCTCAAACAAGTACACACACACACACACACAGCTGACTATATCATTGTCCGCCATTTGGACACAGGTGGCACCATCATTACAGGCCCCATATTTGTCTGTACCATTTTGAGGCATCTGGTTAAAGAACATTTGTTATTACGGCAGCCATTATGTGTGCTGACATTGACAGTTACCCATCATTGCCTCCATTTGGAGTGGTCACTCTCAGTGGGATTGGACCACAACAAAATGGAACAGAGTTGTCTAAAGTGATGAATCCAGATTTAGTTTGGACACTGACAACAGTCATGCTCATTTCTGGAGACCCTGTGGTAAACATCTCAAATCCTGTCTATATTTTGGAGCAGCACATTACACCTACAGCTGGTGTGATGGTCTGGCATGCCATCACTTATGACTCCAGTCACATCTAGTAGTTATCCAAGGGACCAAGACAGCCCAGCGGTATATTAGTAACAGCCTGCAGCCACATGTGTTACCTCTCATGGCAAGGCTCCCAAAAGACATTTTTTATCAGGACAATCTCTACCAGTCTCTACCACATTTCCATACTTTCCTGGCCTGCCCAATCCTGATTTGCCACCAATCAAACATGTCTGAGATCACCTGGGATGCCAAGTTACACAACCTAGAAGTTTGGCTGAACTAGAGCACCACTTGCAGCAACTGTGATGCTGCAGGACATCATACAGCATATGTATGCCTCCATGCCCATCATGTATTCATGCTAGAGGTGGCCCAACTAGAACATCCTTTCATTTTAGTTTTTCATGTAATAAAACATCCTTTTGCTTTCATTTTATAATTATTACTTATATCACCATTATACTCACATACAATTTTGTTTGATTCTAATAACTCCTCGAGTGTTAATTTTTATGGCAATGAGTATATGTATGTACTCGTATATATATATAAAAATTTTACTATAGTAATAAATAAAATAATATTTTTAAAACATATAGTAAAAATTAATATAAATGTCAATTATAATCGTGAAACAATCTAATTTCAAAAATAAATTACCAAAGTTTACTGCATAAAGCATATTATAAGAATAATTTCCTGCAATTTCATAAATTTTCCTGAATTTTTTGATGCAAATGTTTAATGCATTAATATAATTTAAATTTTATAATTATTTTAAATTATAAAAATAAAAATGTTTATAAAATTTATATAAAATCATATTAACAATTGTTCAAATCTAGGCTAAATCTGTACAAACTTTAAACAACAAAAGTTCAAATCTAAACAACTTTTTCTTCCTTATTCACACATGGCTTTATATGGGTCAACATTCTAGTAAACAGGAATTTTTGTTTTGCTTAAGACAACATAGAAAGCATGTTAATTTTCCACTATGCAATCATTTTACAGAATAAGAATAATTCAACAGAAACAAAATTCCAATATAATTTGTGCTTCTCAAATTTTATATACTGTATATTCAAATAATAAGTACAGTAGACCCCCCTATAACGCTTAGATACGTTCCACGCTAACCGAAAATTACGTTGTAGGAATGATTAAATACGTGAGCAAATCGCAGCCCGATAGGTGGGAACTTTACGGACTAAGGCTGTTCGAAAGGTTTTCTTCTATAAAATTAACCGATTCTAGACTAATTCCACTCAACATTTCCAAAACACGTATAATTTTTTGGGAATAATCCGTATAAACTATGCTATAAACAAAAAATTATAGGATTACTTACCGAGTGTGTACCGTTCGACTACGCCGTTGCTTAAAGCTGGTTTTCATCGCGGAACAGCACATTAAACGGCGGCCGCGATTTCTAACAACTTATTTTTCTGCGAAGACTTCGTTGAACTTTGGAGACATCATTAATATAAATAATTTTTATGGCCGTTGAATAAGAAGTGTTTCTTTCACAAGAAATGTATAAAATTAGTGCTGTATTAGACTTACGGTACCTAATTTACATACTGTACAGACGATAATAAACTCAACTTACTAGCCTAAAATCTCCGTAGCGTGTTGCCAGGCGGCAGAAAGCATATATATAATTATAATAAAGTTACAATAAATTAAGTTAATATATAATTATATATACAGTACCTAATTTATATATAATTAATATATAATTATATGTACAGTACCTAATTTATATATAATTTATATATAATACTAAACAGACGATAGCAAACTCAATTTAGCCGCTCCGTAGCGTGGCGCAGGGTCGGAGGAAAGTAGTTCGGCTGCTCATCCACTATTGGTCCAGACTCTATCAATCTTGTCGCGAAACGACGTTATAGGAGGTACGTTATACGAAAGTTGCTACAATTTTTTCGCTACGTTATAGGAATTGTCGTTATAGGAACGTACGTTATAGGGGGGTCGACTGTATACAGTGTGACCTCAACTTAACAAATGCACTTCATTTCTGAACCTCTTAAATCCTAATCTTGTAAACAGGGAAGACTTACCATTACTTCTATTGGTTGAAATTTATACTTCATTCCATTGTAACCAAGTCACCTGTACCTATATTCCTCAAAAATATTAAAGTACTACAAAGATATAGTACCTATCAATCAACGATTTTAAATGAAAATGTTTTTGTATTATCTCCCTTTAGACTAGTTTCTAATAAAAAAGGAAAGAAGCAAATATGAGCAGAACTATCAGACATTTATTTATTTAAAGATAAGTAAACATAGTATAAGAAAACAAATAAAATAAAATAAAAATGTTTTTTTTAATTAATGAAATTGTAATCATTAACAGAAAATAAGAGATGATTGTTTACAAAAGTGGAAAGATTATTACAAGTCTTTATCAGAAGCAGTGGTAAACTGAGACCTAGTGGGATCCCCCTCTACATAATTTTATAACATCTTAAACTAATAATTCTATAGCTACAATTAGGTGTTATTTATAAATTATGATGTACAATTTCAACAGTAAAATTGCTTTATTTTTTCCAATTTTAGGCCTCAATATCTAAGGCCCTAGACACATGCCTCAGGCACCTAGTGAATAATCCAGCACTGATCAAAAGAAATTGTTTTTGTTTGTAGATCAACAGATGTCGTGAGTGAAATAGAGAATATGGAAATTGGGACCTATGAGTCATCTGATTATAGCATGTGGAAATTTCAATCTTGTCACACTTGTGTTCTCAAATATTGGCCAGAACTTGTTTCAACTATATAATCTTGTAAATGAGGAAGAGATAGAAAAGAAAACAATTCATTGTATCAAATTCTCATAGACCAAATAATCAAATATACAGGTATCATTAAGTATAAACACTCGTACTTTGTTTATAATTTTGTTGTTGGTTTGTTAAGATTTTGCAATGTTTATTAACTGATATTATTGTTGTATATTTTGAAGAGTTTCAACAAAATCCTTTGAAATATACATGTATAATTAAATCTTTACTTACATTATTTTATTTTAAATGTATTTTCATATATAATGTTTTACAAGACTATTTATTTAAAAATTATGTCGTTGACTCTAAGATGCTTTAACATGTTTTTACTTATCAGATAAGTTATCTTAAATATAAGTGCATCTTAGAATTGATGGAAGTCTTACATTCACAATCCAAAGCAATAGTCATAAGCAGACCATGTACTGTATATTATTGATATATTAATGTTTAAAATGCCTCCAAGATGATATCATGATGGAACATTAAAACAAATATTAATAGTTATTGTACTATGTAAAACAGCATTGAAATAGATATATAACCTCACTTAAACTGGCATACTGGCTTTTATCATACGGAAATATCTGATTTCATGATTTCCCCAGATAGATCGGCATGCTGGTCATTCTGTGAAAATATGGTATGATTTAAAACAATTTTTATCAGAGGCTTTTAATATATAAAAATAATAATCATAAATTTTGGTGGGAAAAAAAAAATGATTTCATTCATTTTTGTTTTTATCAAACAACTCACAATTAACCTGTTAATTTTTGCTGCAACACCATTTTTTTTTTTTTTTTTTTGTTTTAGTCACTGCATCATAGATAAATCTATTCAACAACAATATTAAGGCAATAAATAAGTAATTACCTAAAACCAGCAATAATTCTCTTCAAAATGAACATTTTTTTCTGTTTTTTAACTGTCATCATCAGGTTTCCATGCATTGGGTAATATCATGATAATTGTATATGAAGACAATGAGTGATAGAAGCATGTGCAGTTCTTTTTTACAAAAAAAAAAAACTACTGTAATATGCAAAGTTTGTATAATAGTGGTGAGATTGAGTGACAACACAACCTATATCTATATATAAATCTAAATTTTTCTTCTGACGTTGATCATAGTAGTGGCCTTATGATGCAAAGAGAAAGCAACTAAAGCAGTAATAAGCATTACGTAAATGACTGTTATAGATTAGTTGTAATTATAACTTGTTAATGTAAACACCTATTAGTTGCTGATCTACCATGTATCAATTGTATCTAAATTTGTTCATGATCTTATCAAAAGGTATAAAGTACAGTACATTTCCAGGCCAACCAGTTTAAATCCAGTGACACTAAAAATGTATCTAGTGAAATAAGTAATAAGCAGTAAAATTATTTCATCAGTGCACTACTTGAAAGCAGTAACAAAGACATATAAAATTGTTTAAACAATTACAAATTCTAAGACTATCTGGACTAAATAAACCATTACTCTAATGATACTGAGAGTTCTAAAGTTTTCACTAATACAACATTGATGAATACATGTTTCAAGCATATCCACTTTAATAGTGAAACTGTATGCAAATAATAGTATATTTGGTCAAATAAAAACTGAAATCATCATGTCTTTTACAAAAATATTAATATGAACTAGTTGAAGAACATGATGAGAGTATCACAGTGCATCAAGTGTATGAGAATTTCATGACTATAGTATGAAACAAATATTCTGATTTTGATTTTACCAACAGGAAAAAAATGACTTTCCTGACTAACATTTTACTTTCTAAAAAAACTTATTACAGAAATACTTCATATGCATACAGTACTTCAGGTGTTCTTGAACATCTGTACATTACAATCAATACCAGCTATAAACATTCTTTCTGAACATATGTTTTCTAAAAGTTGATATCATAAGTCAGCAGCAACAGCAGACTGACTGGTAATAAACTGTCAAAACTAAATGTTTGTCTTTATTGAATGATAACAATATTCAAAATACATAATGTTTTTCTCTCTTTCTCCCTTTTCTTTTTTTGCATATCTACTATAATAGTAACAATTAAAAAATCATCGTAGCTGAGCAGTTATGCAAAGGAACAGTCTTTAAGAGAATTGTAAATATACATAATACTGCTATGTATGTTTACACCATCTTATATATATTATATATCTATTTTCTTTATATGATAGATACAATATTTATATTTCCCGTGAAAAAATTTGCAAAAAAAATATTATACAATGACTGAAAATCTCAATTTCTGGGAAGAATGAATCAACTTAGTTTTAAAAATTTTAAATTTCTTTTGATACATTGGATATTGTGATATATCAGCAATATCAATATCAGAATTACATCATTGCAATATTTCATATATTAATATATCTCTTGACAGTTTTCATGTTTAGCTTGCAATATATTTCTTATTACTTCAATTTCTCTGATGATTACTTGAACTAATGATTAGCATGTCAAATACAAAACTTTTTCAATGCAGTTCAAAAATGAGCAAGGACAAGGTACAAATTTATTATTGTTTATTTGCTAATGTTCATGTTTGAAAACAAAAAAAGTTTAAAGTATTTAATAATCAGGTGAGTAGCAAATAGCCAGTCATCTCTGACTATATTTACTACATGATTTAATAAAAGTAAACAATACAAATATCAGATTATCTTTACTAAATCTTTTTGAAAAATATAGATTATATGTAGAAGTCTCCTGCAAGTAGTGGTGACCAGATTATTAAAAATGGATAAGTAAGATTTAAGAGAAACTGATATATTGCAGATTCCACTCTTTCAAAGCAATATAATTGTAAAGATTAAATTTGATAATTCAATTACTGGTAGATATCTTATATTTGTTTAAATATCAATGAACATTGATGAAAAATATGACATAAAATATAATTAGTCAGTCATGAAAATACTTATTAATATATTACATTAAAACTATATTATAACAACTTAAAATTTCCATAAACTTATATACTTATAAATGTGCAAGAATTCTAATTTCTTATTTTAAAACAATTATGATATTAAAATTTGTTTTAAATTTTATATTATTAAAAAAATAAATCATAACATACCTATTTCATTGGCTACATTTTTAAGTTTTTCTGGATTCCTGCTGATTAGAATAATGTCAAATCCTCGAAAAGCAAGCTATAAGAATATTTAAATATTGTTTAATTTCAAATCTATGTGGTGAAATTTTATAAATATTTTAAAATTAAAATTATGAAAAAGAATTACAAAGTTTTCAAAATTTATATCCCTAAAACATAATTTTTCTATTTATATTGCAACAACTTTTATTGATAATTGTATAAATGTTTAATATAAATATGAAATACTTATTGTTTTGCCATTATAAAATAGATTTCTACTTTGTTCGGTATAAACAATAAGTTCTCTCTTAATGCTGCATTGTAATGTCATCTTGAAAAAATTTTAACAGTAAAATGGAGTTCAAATTAAATGCTCATTCCTAGCAAAACTCATTTGAATTGATGTAACTTTCAGCAGTATGGCCAAAAATATTATTAGGAGCATTATGCACCATATGGTCTATTCACAATGAATGCTGACAGTTTCAAAGTATGAATTTAAGATACTATCAATTATAAGAAGCATCTCTATTTTAATAAATGAAAATGAAAGAACAAAAGAAATAATGTCTCATCATTAAGAAAATGTAACATTAAAATACAATATGACATTTAACACTTTACTATAGAGTTAGGTTAATTACTGAGTTAAAATATTACTATAATTTTAGCAACTGTTTGGCTATTTCTGGTGTTCTTACCACACATTCTTTCACAAAATAAAATCATGTATATCAATACATGATTTTATTTAATTTTGGATTAAATTTTGGATTTATTAAATAATAACTTCCAATATTTGGAAGTTATTATTTAATAAATCCAAATATTGTAAAATAAACAAATTTTTCATTGATACTTGTCAGATACATACTTCGAGGACTGGAGATTTTATTAAATATAATTTCTGTTGAAATTACTTATTTAAGACTGATCTACTTTTTTACTTATACACTTACTTATCTACATATTCATTTTACTTATATACTTTAATATTTATATTACTTTTAAGATTAATTCATATATTTAACAATAGAGATTGCTATTACTGCTGTTATGTCTATAAGGCAGTTAATAGGTGACCAGCACAACTCTATTGTTAAAGGCCACTAAAGTATTATGTACAGGGGCAGAGCCACTGCTGATAATTTGAGGTGAAAAGCATATATTTTAAACTAGCTTACCCGTCACGCATTGCTGCGATCTCAGAAGAAAGGAAATTCAAGCAAACTTGTTATGATAAAATTCAATTTACATTTTATTATTTTTATTGAAACTTATTATTATTATTCATTTTCATCGGGAAAACATTTCAAAGTGTCGTTTCAATTCTATTTATTTATTGGAGTGTTTGTGGATACACGATATTTTTTGTTTTTCCGTCTGGTGCGTACACGAATAAATCGGAAGGTTTTTCGACGCGTGAGCCGGCCACATACAGTTGTCCATGCGAGAAGCACGGATTCTCCAAATTTAGCCCACACACTCGCTGCGATTGTCAGAAGTGCGATATTCCCCATTTTTATATATATTTTTAAATCCTTTATAATTTTAATTATTTAATTGCTCCTTCCTCTCTTCCTTGGCATGTTGTGAAATTTCTGATAGTTGGATAATAAACCGTTTTATTGTAATTTGTCTTTTTAAATTATTTTGAGTCGATATTAAAATTTGGAAAAGGGGGATACCTAGATCGGTAAAATAGGCGAATTTCCTCCTACAACTTCGGTTGTTGTTCGGGATACAGTTAAGGTTTTAACAAAGTTCGAGCGAATACATAATTAGCAAAAAAAAGTTGAAATAAAGTGATTAAACAAAAATTATTACAAATATCGTAAATAACAGTTCACAAATGCATATATAGAGATATTTTTTGAAGGGGGGAAATGGTCTTCACAATTTGAAATCGATCGAACACACTGTGCGCGAATGCTCGTGTAAACGCGCGCCATCTATCGTAGGATAAATGTACTATGCCAAAAACCTTCGCGGGAGTGTATTAAAAAACTTTCCGAAGTTTTATGGCAATCGTACTATGCCACAAACCTTTGCCGGAGTATATTAAACAACTTCCCAAAGTTTCACGGCAATCGGATAAACGGTGTTGTAATGCATGAAGGACACACAGACATACATTCATTTTTATATATATAGATTAAATAAATTAAAAATATGATTAAAAATTGCAGCCTGGCATTGTGACAATGTCACAATATATAATTGCTCGTTAATATTAATTTTCTTAAATAATTTTTACAAGTAAATTTCAATTTCAGAACAAAGTAATTACAGCATTAATAGTCATTGACAAAAAAGTTATGCATTAAGGAGGTGGTAATGGAATTGAATGAGACTTTATAGTGAAAACAATGATAATAAGTTATTACAATAGCAAAGGTACAACTTCCTTTGGAATGTTGATATAATTTAAAGGAATCTAGTACCTTGTGAAACCTTCTCTTGCCTGTACACATGTGACCATACTATAAAATATGGAGACATGCAAGTATTATATGCTAAGTGAGGTAGCAAAAAAATTATTTATTTATAGTTATATTTTATTTACATCATTTTTTTTCTTTTCATTCCAGTTATTTTGAGTTCTGGGGATTAAGTTATGTTAATAGAACTGCATACTAAAATTTTAAATATTCTACTACATTTCTGTAACTAGATATTAGTAGAAACACAAGTTAAGAAACACTATTTTTTATAAATGTGTTCAATATTCAAATTAACAATGTATGAAAAGTTATTGTCAAGTTAACAAGCTATATACCAATCAAGCACCTAAAATTCAACAGCTATACATTGACCAGCAGAAGTGATCACTTTTTCTGGTCGGTGTTCTAAGTGATTACAGTCGACCCCCCCCTATAATTACGGTCCCTGTAATTACGATTCCTATAAAACTACGAAAAAATTGTGACCGGTATCTGTAAAAAACAGTAAAAACCCCCTATAATTACCTCAAACGTCATCAGGCAGCCAAACTACTTTCCCGCCGTCCGTAGCGCCACGCTACAGAGAGATTTCTATCGTCTGGACAGTATTATATAAATTATATATAAATTAGGTACTGTACATATAATTATATATTAACTTATTGTAACTTTGTTATAATTAAATATATAATTTCCGCCGTCTAGTGTGGTGCCACGCTACGGAGATTTTTATGCTAACTATCGTCTGTAGAGTATGTAAATTAGCTACCATAAGTCTAATACAGTACTGTAATTTTATACATTTCTTGTGAAAGAAACATTTCTTATTCAACGGCAATTAAAATTATTTATATTAATGATGTCTCCAAAGTTCAACGAACTTTTCGCAGAAAAATAAGTTATTAGAAATCGGCCGCTGTTTGCTGAGCTGTTCCGCGACGAAAACAATGTTGAGCAATGGCGATGTCGAATGGTGACACTCGGTAAATAATCCTACAATTTTTTATTTATAGCGTAGTTTATACGGATTATTTCCAAAAAAAATATATGTATTTTGGAAATGTTGAGTCGGATTAGTCTAGAATCGATTAATTTTATGAAAGAAAACCTTTCAATCAGCCATAGTCCGTAAACTTGACACGTGTCAGGCTGTGATTGGAACGACTCGTAAGAAATCGGATTCCTAAAGAATGGAACGTATCTATATCTTATGGGGGGGGTCAACTGTAATTGGTTGATTTAGTGCTGATTAAGGGTTTTCCTTCTGCTATGTTCTTTTCTCTAATCAGGTTAATTGTTTAAGATTTTGAATAATTATTAGTACAATTTACAAAAATACAAATAATAATTGCTGTAACTATTGAATTTGAAATTTGTATTATTTGAGTTTTATACTAACTGTTGTTATTAAAATCATAATTTTTGTTTTGCAGTCAAAGTCTAGTACTGGCATTTATAGTTTAATAATGTTTCATATTTTACAAACTCAGATGCAAAGATTATTTCTTTGATATTTTCAATTGTGCAGTATCCTGTGACAGATTTACCCAAAGATTTGCAACTGCCACTCAAGATGCCAATCGGTCCAGAAAAGGGTTACAAGATTTGCTTCCAATCCCTTGGTATGCCTTCTACATATGTGCAATTCAATGGTCTACTCACCTAAAGTGCCTCAAATTTTTGCATTCACTAAGACCATAAACTGGAAAACTAAATTTGTCCAGTAACTGAAAAGTGCAATTCTCCAACATTTTCAATTGAAAAACAATTTGTGAAACTCTACCAAGCCAAAGCTGCTTACTATCCTTTTTCCATCAGCAATTCTCTACAGGTGATAGAACACCTTAAATCCATTTCACTTGTCAACTAGAGATATATGACTGTATTGGACTTTCAATCCTTATATCCAACTATAAGAATACCTTCATGCTTTTGCACAATAAGTGATTTCCTCTTCTCCAACATCAAAGCACACCAGAAGAACATACTCGAGCTAGCAATTTTAATTTGTTACATGTCATTCTTTGAATTTAATGAATAAATCTATCTATGGGTAAGAGGGGTGCCCTATATCAGCAATTTTATGAGCTTGTGTTACAAAGCCTTGAAAACACCTCTCTCCACAAGTTCCAGCGTTTGATCCTCTTGTACACTAGATACATCGATGATATCTTCATCCTGTGGAGAAGGAAGACTAACCTTTGGCAATTTTTAGAAAACATCAACAACAATCCTTATGGTTTATAATCCTACAATTAGATCAAGAAAGTGAAGCAGCAGTATACTTTCTGAATATTCTCATATCATGCAGATCTATGAAATTTTCACTAGGGTCTACCTTTCAACCCATTTTAATCCTATACAATTCCACAGATCCCAGACACTTCAAGCTTTTTGCCTTCAGAACCTTGGTAAAAAGGACATACACTCACTGTATGAATATTCAAGACACTATTGAAGAACTGGATTATATCAAGGAAATTGCCAGCAACATGAATTATCTGGATAAGATAATAAAGCAATTAATTGACACTTTCCTTACACCAAAAATGGTAACAGCAGCAATGAACTGGAGAAGAGTAGTCTTAAATTATAACCCCTCCTCTTCAATATCCAGAGGAAAGTGGCTCACGATGGTGACGTATCGTTAGTATATTGTAACCTGATAATTTTTAAGATACTGCAGAATAATAAAATACTGCATGGCCAGGACTCAGTCACCAGATTTACTCCATCCCAGTCGACAACCATCATTTCAATTCAAAGCTGGTCTACACACTTCATAATTTGCAGCAGAGAGTCAAGAAACAAATACACAGCTAGAAAAATCCTCAATAACACAGCACTGGTAGTTTATTTACAAAATGATGTACACATTCAATAGGATCAAGTCAAACTCATCAGGTCCACTTCTAACTTACACAAAGCTTTTAGAAATATATAAGGCACACAAAAGGTCACAATGCATCAATCATCAGGATACAGAAACCTATCAAACACCTGGCAAGTAATTTACGAAATGTAAATTAAGAATTACATCTACAATTTTAAAATGTTTGATATTTATTAATTTTACATTGTTTCCCAAAGTTCTCAGAAATCCTCGAATAGCAAATGCAGCTATTATTTGACGGCAATTGTTTCAAGTTTTAAAGATGAGACACAGTTACTATTCGAATACAACCAGTATTCAAGTAATGTTAAAAATAGGCCTATTTCTATCATTCACAAGTGACATGTGAAATATGTTTGGGGGTTGGATTAATTTGTACCAGGGCAACAACTGGTCTAGATTTAAAATTTCTTAAATCATGAAATCACTTTCTGGCCTGTATGTCAAGTTTACCTTCTTAAAATCCAAAAATAGATATATTTTATCACTAAAAACTTATTAAAACCAAAATTTTTAAACGAATAAGTGTTTTAATCATGAAATAATAAAGAAATAAAACTTCCTTTAAATATGTTTTTAATTGTAATAAGACATTTAAAAAATTATGAGTTTGGACAATTAATTATGCTATTATCAACCATCTGTACCAATAGTTCTTAACATGGGGCACAAGATATCTTTTCTGGAGATAATATATTTTTAAAATTTAAAAGAAAAAACTTTTCTACCTTTTCCAGTGAGAACAGTCTTATTAAAATAAAAATCTTACTAAAACTCTATCAATGTCAAATTTGAATGTACAATTAATGTATTTTTTCAGTTATAAATCCCTAACCTAGACCTAAATATTACTGTAACAATGAATGGGCACAGATGAATTTTCTTGATAAGCTAAAATATATGCAAGAATGTAACATGAGAGGAATGAAAATGCATTTTAAAAATTCAAGAGGTGTGAGCAGCAAAAGTATACATTAAGGATTGTAATGTTTTAGCAATGACAAGACAGACTTGGGTGGCAATGTCACAAAGAAGAAATATATAATTAAACAGGAAAAGAAAAAAAAAAATAGAATAAAATCTGGGTAGATAATTTAAACTACAGAATAAGAAAGTTGACATTTAACAAAAGTAATTCAAATTCACATATTAATCTGCTCCTTTAGTTAGTTTAATAATTTTCCATTGTTAGTTAGCCTCAAATTATTATTTCAAAAAGACACTCAACAATCTTACTTTCTATTCAAAGTAAATATTGCATTATAATTATGATGTGCACGTCATGTGTTAATTTATACAAAACGCAT